CAGTGAGATTAAATACATTTTAGGTTACAGTTGGCAATTTTGCATTCCTGACTCCTCCTATGATTAGTGCTGTCGGAAGGACACTTCTTAAAATATAAAAACTGAGCATTTCGTAAGCAGGGATGTTTCATCAGCTAATTATAAATAATAGGAGGAAATAAATCTGGAATTTTAAGTATAGAGTTTTGGCATGCAAAACAAACAGCAGGGAAGACTGTATTTTCTTTTGTCTTTGAACAAAAGTTTTCTGTACAGTGATACAAGGATATGGTGCATACCCAGTCTATGTGAAATCTCTCGTTCATCTGTTAAGCCTTACCTTGTAGCATAGATTTTTGATTAACCATTAACAAGTTGAGGCAGACTGATGCTTTTGGAGTGCTACAATCTAACTTCTCAATAGGACTTCACTGAAAATAGTCTTTCAGCAAATATTTAATAAACTTTTTTTTTTTTTTTTTTAAAGAGAGTTGTGTTAGTGAAATCTGAGAATTTTATCTTTGAGTTCAGTGGGCTTATGCTTAATTTTTAGCAGTGTGAACGAGAGGAGAATTTGCAGTATAAATAGGGAGAGCAGAATTTATAATAACCATTTGAAATTCTGAACAAAAGTAGAAATTGGAGTAGTTTTCACTGAAGTAGTAAAATACAGTCTGAAGCACCTTCTCCTCTGATGTAAAATGGAAAAAAAAAAAAAAAAAGGGCACAGAGTAATTTCTGCTTGTACAGCAATCCTGCTTTCTAGGGAATAAAGAGGGACTTTTCCCTCATAGGCGTTTGAGCATTTTTTAAATAATTTTTCTTGAAAACAAATACCAATTGTTCACTGATCTGTAGTTTTAAGATATTCAAAACTTTAGGTGATATAAACTACTTTATGAAAACTTAAATATTTGTATTTTTTAAATATCAAAACAGGATATACAGACAAAAATATTATTGTAATTGCAATATTCATAGGCACTTCTAAGATAAATAGTTCTTTTAAGAATATATTCCCTCCTGCTTTGCTAAGATTTTGAGCTTAGACTAACAATGCAATAGTTAGACATATGTGAACATACTTTAAATGAACATTTTAAAATCATTTTTATAATTAATCTCAAATGATCACTCCTTAGTGTCAAGAATGCCTTCCTCTTTCTTGCACTTAATTTTTAGTAGCCTTATAAATGTTTGACCATGAGCAATGCTGATTTAAAAGTTCTTGCGACCATGCAAAGCAATGCTGGGTTTAAGTTAGATGTGCCCGTGCAACCATACAGCTACTACACAGTTATCTAAAAGAAAGAAAAGAGAAAAGACGCTTTCCCTGACAAGAATGCAATGTTGCAAGTACATATATTCTGCATTTGTGCAATATTTGTGTGTTAGATAATAATGTGCACACACCTGCAAGGGATAAGCTTTGAATCCAGTCTGAAGGAGATCAAGAATATTATATGACTGAACTCTTCTCAACTAAACTTCAGTGGATTATACAGGACTGGAAATATAACGTGTATTTTACAGCCTGAATACTACACTTAAGACTAATGGAATCTACCAAGTCTATTTAAAGTGCTGCTTTCTATGTTCTCACAGTCATTTTAATGTATGTTTATCCCTCAGAATGAAATTATATATAGCCATGGTCAATTTCGGGATCTATTATAATTAGATGCTGAAGACGAGTATATTTTAAGATGAGATATTGGGGAAAAGCTTTCTGCCTCAAGGGAAAATTGAGTTTGGGAAGGGAGTTCTCAGGAAGATTGCAGAATCTTAAATTTAAGAAGTGGTTAAAAAAAAAAAAAAAAAAAAGCCAGTCAAGAATGACTTAATATGGTGCCCAGGTACCAGCTCAGGGCCCTCTCTCAATCCTTGTGCTTCAGCCTGCCTGGTTGTGAACTGCTGCATGACTGTGCCTCATATTGTTCAAGACATGCCCAATAAGAGAGTGATCAAGAGGTGTACGGCTGATACAATGAACTGTACAGTGTTCCTCACTAAAAACCAAAGGGAAAGGAATAATAAGAAGGGTGCTACTCTAAGTTACAACTACCTGGAAGACAGAAAAGAAAGGCTAGGGGAAAGCGTCTGTGTCCCAGCAGAGAGCGTAGATGAGTCCCTGAACTTCTCTCCAGTTCTAGTTTCTGTTTCTGTCCCCTGCATAGCTCAGGGGAGACACCCAGTGTTTCATGGACTGGTTCCAGTTGTAGTGTTGTCCCGAGTAAAGATAATGATCCAGATTTTTGGCAAAAGCAACAAGCTAGTGAGATCTCTCATGAACTGATTCCCAGATTATAACCTTGACAAATGAGGAAGCACTCTGCATCTTGGAGCTGACATTTTTTTGCCTCCCACTAAAGTGGAGGCAAAACACATCACCTAAAATGTCACCCCAGACAGAAACAGCTACATAGTTTGGGTGTGATAGAAAAATATACTTCAGTTAACTGAACTATAATTTGTATCAAATATCGTTTGTTGCAGTGCTTTACTTTATCATTATCTTTTAATAAAGCACTCTAGTCAGAGATCTCTTGCTGCAGATTTCTCAGTATGACTGGCATTCATCTTTATTCATCCAAGAAACTATGTTTATGAAAATATCCTCTAAATAACTCTGAATATATCTTAAAATACTTGATGACTTTCCTGACTCATTCTTTGTCCATATATAAAAAATTCATTAACATGAGAAGTAACTGAGATCTGATTTGGTTGTTTCAGTTCTCAGCCTTTTGTTGCACTGAAGAACTCTCAGCTATAAAACTTCAGGTTTGCCCATATACATTTATATGTTGCGATCAAGATAATTCTTTGGTTTCATAAAGTTTTTCCAACTTATTTTTCAGTATGGTTATTAGACGGGATAAAAATATTTTAAAGGTGGGCAAATCAATATCAAGTACATATATTTCACACCTCATTCCATAACTCTTCACTGAAAATTCTCAATAGTAATGCAACATTTCATTACAATTAAAATTAAAGTATTTTATAGAAAACTCTTTTTATCAGATAAAACAAGGAAAATTTAGGTCAGTCATGCTTGTAAGTCAATTACAAGTGTAGTGGGATTCTATAGTCACAGGATAAATTAGTTAAAATTTGTGGTATTAAAAGGCTTTTATTAAATCTAAATACTGCCTAATATTTTCTTAAAAGAGGCCTAGTTAATGGCATGTGAATTCTTTTCATGAGCTTTAATAAGTGCCGCACAAAGTAGCTTGGAATTATCCCATTGAGTAACAGAGCCTTTTTTTTTTTTTTTTTTTAATTCAAAGAATCTTTTCTCTTACTTGTGTGATATTTCCCCTTGGAAACTGTTGGTGGTCACTCTCAGAGTTGGCCAACAGTGTTCTTATCAGAGGTATTCTGTTTCAGTATCTTTGTGTCAGTGTTATACCAGTATCAAAGTTATCAAGTGGCACCTTTTGTTCACTGGGAACACTAAACGAAAATTTATAACTAAAAAGAAATGCAAGCCATTTTAAGTCCAACTGCAGAATTTTTGTTCCTGTAACTTTCTTTGTTAGAAAAATAAAGTGCGACTATCTTCTATCTTGTAGGGTATATATAATCCCATTGAATATATTCTATCTACTGCTTTCATCTTTTCCATACTGCTTTGTCACTTATTCAGATATTTATAGTTGTTATGCCCTGCTTGCTATCCTGTATGTGATGTGGAAAAACCAGTGAAAGCAAATACAAAAATCATAGAAGCTTTACAATGCTGTCTTTCAAAACCTTAGCATACTTTCAAGTTCATGTGTAGTGTCCCATTTTCATCTGAATGAATCAAATTTGCAACACAAAAGTAAATATCCAATTCTCCATGCTTAAGACTGTAAAAAGAAAAAAAGTCTTTAAGGGCTCTTTGCTCATATTCGCTGCAAAAACAGTTAAGCAAAAGACCGAAATGTACCCAAACAATAAACTCATAGTCATTAAACTGTATCATAGCCGTAGTTGAGACTGTGTCTCAACTCAGAGCATCCAAAAGTCCAAAGGACCAAAAATAGCAGGGGACTTCAGGAGCAGTTACATTTGTGCAAGTTGTAATCAGATGACTTCACAGATGACTATACTTCCTGGGCACTCTAGAACCCACAAAACTATTACTAGAGTCTTTCTTACAAGTACCTCAGTCTTTTACAGGACCATGGGTCCATTTTCAGAAATTTCAAAAGTATTCTAGAACTGTTGGGTTTCTGTGGAAATTATGAATTCTAAACAAAGTTAAATGTTATTATTTTCTTTTAAATTTTACATGACAGTAAGAGACACCTCTAATATACCAAAGGATACCAAATTATTCTTCCTTTCTTGAACCTTTACTACAAAATAAAACAGGTTTTAACTCTATTTTGACTCCTCATTTTTAAACAATGACCTTGATTATTGTGCATTCTAACCCTTTATCTTTAAAACAGGCTCTTAGACAGAAGGAAGGCTCCGAATAGTTCATCATGTTTTGTGATTTTAGTCTTGCTGCTAGTTTCCTATTTGTCTCATTAGGAGGAGACAAAAAAGTAAAGAAAAATGAATAAGACTCCCAGGTCACTGAAAAACAAACAAAGAAAATAACCCTTATCTTGGAGTTAAGCATGAATGAAACAATGATTTTTTTCCCAGAACGTATTATTATCTTATAAAAGTAAAAACCAGCTCAACTGTCCTTACCTAGCTTCAAAAGAAAATATAAAAAGGCTAACCATAATGATTGCACTGAATAGTTCAGAAATATTTAGTTTGATAGCCCTTATCTATTGACTTAAAAATTACAGTGTGATTCAACTTGAAATTCAATTTAAAAGTTGCATAAGAACATCAAAATCAAGTACTTCCTAAATAAAAGGACCTTTCTATAAATCCACTATCTAATTTACTAGATACTTTTATTACATAAACACCTTATGGGTTTGGATTAATACTAAAATTACCATTTCAGTTGTGAATAATAGTAATCTAAGCAATCACTGGAGAATGAAACTTTTAAATTCACTTACCTCATATATGTGAATTTGCTCCTTTGTTACGGCAAAGATTAATAAAACATTGTTTTGCACAAGTTTGTCAATTAATTGTCCAATTGTGGGATATTCCTGAAAAGGAGAGAGCCGCATCAATTCATTTTTTATAGACATACACTCCCTGTCTCCCATGAAGCACATATTCAAATGCCATATAATTAATACTGATTTCTCGGTATAGTATAAACATATAATTAGGTACTACTTATATACAAAATAAAAGATACTGTATATAATTTCTTCTCCTTTCTGAGGAAACTCTTTGAAAGTACAGTGTCTACCTTGATACTGGGACTCCAAGCTTAGCAGAATGTAGTCCAAAGAATAATTCTGTACCAGGACAACTGAATATTTGTACTAGTTTTTATACTCAAATCTTAAACTGATTTTTTTTTTTTTTCAGGAACAATGTCCAGCCAATTACCAATCTCCTCCTGAACCCCTTTAAGGGTTAAGGCATATTTTACTTTCCCTTCAGAAGAAAATACTAGCCAGTCCTGCTCCATGTGTTCTCCAGGTTAGAGCGATGCGTTCTTTTCTAATTATAATATACCATAATTTCCTACATACACACAGTTCTCTTTAGATTGGAGCTACAGCTACAAATAAAATAGACAACAAACACCTGAATCCCCCAACTTTTCCACGTATCAGTGATGAAGATATACTTTCATCAGTCTGACTTGCTCGTGTTAGCCTTTACGTTCGCACAATGCTCGAGTTGTACAAGACACACAGCAAATTACCAGAAGAGTTGACATGGAATATTCATTATTGTGGTCCAAATGACAGCTCCCATCATTAGGGATAACAATCCCTGCCAGTTTACTGTCCATCCCAAAATGGGAATCAGCATCACTCACAAACACCAGCAAATGTAAAGAATCATTCCTCCATCCAATTTTTTCCTGTAATTTAAAATACATTAGTTCAACAAGCTGAACCATATCACTATAGAGAGAAGCAGCAAACAATCTGGAGAAGGGCAGCTCAAAGCATATGAATGGAATCATTCTAAAGGGACTATCCAAAACAACAAAACCTATCTCTTAAGAGACAGTATCATTCCCTTGTCTTTCTTTAAAATTTTGCCTTCCCAATTTTGTATTTGGTAAATGATGCAGGTTATTTCCATGTCAGTATGCATACTCCTTTAAAAATGGTTAAACAAAAGTAGTTATACAAAACAAGAAAGCAGACCAGTCAACTCATAGTTTGTATTTTTTTACTCCTAGAAATGAAAGAGAAAGACTATAATGTTACAATATATACATTTAACTTGATATGAATCCAAGGTAGCAATAAAATATTTGACTGCGTCTTACAGTCTGACTGCTCTTCCACTGATGCTGCCAGTGTTGATTGCACTGATTTCACACAAATCTGCTTAGGCTTCTGTATTCATTAAAAAATCTTGAAAAATAATGATCTGTTCCTTCTAAATACAATCATATAATGCTAGAACTGTTAAAATACAGAGTAATTAGTATTATACCTAGAGGTTTCAATTACCTTGCAAACAGCTGCCTGCATAATCGCATCAAATCCTCCCTCTGGAGTGTCTATATTAGCAGAGATTCTCTGTCCTTTCACAATTTCATTGAATCTTTCTGCATCATTGGTCAATGGCAAAACATGTTTGTACCCAAAGGTAGGCAGGCACTCATATGGAACACTTCTACAAAACAAGTGAGATGGTTTATGGATAATGCAGGAATAAAGTCACTACAATAATTTATCACTGCAATGTCTATTTTGTCATTGTAATCTATTTGAACCGATCAGTTTTTAGTTTGTTTATCTCTCTTCTCTGTCTGACAGATCTAGTGAAAAACATAAAAAGAATCAGAGTGAATAGTTATTTGCATTTAGCTGGAATATGCAAACAAGTCTGCATAAACATGGAAAATGCCTCTGGAGCTATTTTCCCAAGAAATGTCTGCAGAGATGCAGTCCTTGCAGTGCTCCCTGCTATGTCTCATTTTCATACTTAGAAGCACATTAACACACTGGGATTTCTAGTTCCTTAGTCACATTCAGATAGCACCACTGTTCTTCCCTTAGGGCTACAGACAAAGGAATGTCAGAGAGCACTGTTTTTCCTCTACTTAGGAGAGGACTAGGACAACCTAGATTTGGAGCAATACTGCTAGATTCTGGAGGAAAACAGAGGAAAAGAACATTAATGGGTAAATGAAACCAGTATTACTTGTTCGGTTTGCATTTTTACCCATTTAGCATAGCAAAGGCACAAAAATTCATGTATTTATATTTAATTATATTTGAAGACGCATAATTACTCGGAACACATCGGTATACTGATGTTAATCCATTCTAACTAACAACAAGATGTAAAAAGCAGAATCATCCCTAGACTGTTCTTTGAATAACATAATATATGACAGAATAATAGACTGAACCTAAAATAAATTCCTTACTGACTCTTTTAGAAGTGGCATAGGGCAGAGGCTCCCATGAGTGTGTTGAACTGAATTTTGCCTTAAAGAGTACCAGTATGAGTTAATGTGGGCATGCATGTAGATGTAGGTACTTTTCCTGCATACCTGCAAGGGTTGTTAATTTCTTCAGCTGTAGTTTTGATAAATGGTGAAACCGGTTTCTCAACAAAAGATCCAAAACCTAGTCTGAAGTTGCTTGTCAATTTTGACATTTCTTTGGAGAGAGTTGAACCTAACTCCTTTATTGTATTCAGATCATCATCCATTGAAGCTGAAAGATCCATGAGGTAGTAGAGATCAATTGGATAATCTTCAGTTTGGCGAACTTTGATCTGTATTGTTTCTTCATGTCCTATTAAAGTTATAGGAATATAAAATACACATTAACACTCCTGAATATATCATGTTATGAGCAATGACTTTTTTTCATAAAATTAAATGTATGGTGAAAATGATACCATATTTTTAAATCATCAGTACAGTTAACATAACAACTCTAAACAGTCTATATTAACAAAAATTTCAAACAGCATGTCTGAAAAAACAAAAGGAGTGCTTATGTGTTTTCTAAACTGCTCTTCAGTGAAACATGGAATTTGGAAACAACTCTGACTAACTTATGAGGACATCCTTTTGACAGAATACAGCTTTAGAAAATTCAGGTATGAAACCAGTTAAATTTAAGGCAGCACTTATAGGATACACTATAAACTTTAGAAATCTTAAAACACATCAGAGTGTGCAGGTAAGTTTTATTCTCAGTGTCAGTACTATAATATGATCTAACAGGGTGTTTCTTAAAATTCTTTATTACAATTTTTTCCAGGACAAACTCATATCTGAGGGTCTACCTAATGTAGGTCTAGGGAGCTTCCATAAGTGTCACTGGTACCTTGCTAATCCTCAAAGCAAGATTTGATACTACATTGAGGCTATGCTGTTTATCAGACCTTCACAGGCCAGGCACAGAAGCAGGACTGAGGATTGATGTGGCATGAGGAGAATAAAAGAACTAGAAAATAAATCCTTACCTTTATGAAGTACCCAGCATTTCCAGCAGTATTTTGAACTGAACTGAGCTTTCCATTTGCTTAGCCAAACAGCAATTAGCTTTGGACTCAACACAGGTATTTTATTTTTACCCTACAAAGATCTTTTTTTCAGGCCATTTAGTCTGGGTAGCTTGGGTATCAGCAAAACAAAAACTCAGGATTATGCATTTGAATCGAGTGACCTACCTGGTCGCAGCCAAAGAGTTAATTTTTGAGGAGAAATCTGTGTGACATCAGAATTGTTCTGTATTCCAATACTAAGAGGCTTATTCTTCTGAATTTCCACTTTGGAAGGGGGAAATTCAATCAAGTTCAACTGGCATCCTTTTGATAAAAGATTTTCTGGTGTATCACACCTTCCATGAATTCCTGATGAATCTGTATAACTCTAAAACAAACAGGAAAAGAAATCAATGAGTTAAATGTACTTACTGACCAACACCAGCAACTCATTAAAGCAAGCTCAGTGTCATGTAGGGGGAACAGAAACAAAGGGGAAAGTTACATAGTTGGTGCAAAACAGCATGGAAAGAGATCTAAGTGGCACAGAAGGCTAAATTTGCCCTCCATGGATCATGTCACACAGGTGTATAATTAATGTAACTTACACCTATTTGGTATTCTGGGGGAAACTCTGCTATTGTCAGGGAATGGGAATCGTGCCACTTATGTCTGGCTCCTTGCAGTACTGGGAATATCAACACAAAGCACAAACGAGCTTGTTTTTCTAAGGAAATCACTTACAGGATTATGTTGCAAATTCGCCAGTCTTTCCTTAAAGGCTCTGAACTGCTGACAGTCCCAAGTCACTTAATAACAGAGGGGGTCTCACAGATTATATTCTCCTGCAAGTTTTGTGAGAAATTGGAGGTGGGATATGTTGTGTTCATAGGACATTTTTTTTCCCCTCATCTACTCTTTCTCCTCAATGCACACATTCTCCTTTTACACATCTACTAAATCTGGCAGGCAGTTCCCTGTTACTCTCTCTGATGTCTAACAAGCTCTCCAGCTTCCATCACTCTTTGGAGCAGCTGAGGCTCCCAGTACACTCTCATTTATCCAGTTACGTTTAGCCCAGGGTCTTAATTGACCTTCTCCCATACAGAGGGAACCACAAGCCTATTGCTATCAGCTGGGTATCTTGCAGTTTATTTTTGTTACACTTTTCAAGGCAGTTGATATGCATTCCTCTCCACAACACTGCTGTGAAGTAGGTATTATCCCTGCATAACAGTGAAGTGAATGGTTAGATTTACAAAGAGGCTTCTATGTTTTACTGCCATTTCCTACAGTTTTGTCTAAAGATTAGATCCTCAAATTTCCAATCAGCTATAAGATAGACAGAAAGACAGACGACAGAAGGAAAAAAAAAAAAAAAAAACTCCTGATTTTCTTAGGTTTATCTTAAAGATCAGTTGGTGTCATGATTTCTGTCAGTATGCATGCACATGAGCCCCACGAGGCTGCTATGGAGCGCCTGAAGTCTAATTCCTGGTGAGATCTCACATGGAGCCTTCTCTGTCTTCATGGTTACTAAAGCCTAAATCAGTTTTAAGATTACCAGTTTTGTGATCAAAGCCCTGGACTGGTTGATGACAGACAAAATTAAATCCTCCCTATACCTCTGAACCCAAATCTCCCCTTTGTCATGAGTATAGTTTAACCACTCTGAGTCAGGTACCCTACTCCAAATCTCTCAAGTCCACCCTGTTGCAGTTGTTGTATTCTGTATAAAATAAACATTCAATGTGGTAGATCATCGGCTTTCATTCTTTCTTAATTTTCCAGACCCCTTAAACAGTTGGAGTCTAGAGCCAAATTTACACTCCATAGCAAAACATATATATATACACACACACACACACACACGTATTTATATAAATGGCTCAGAGCTTCTCAACAGCAGAAACAAAGCAGAGTTTTGCTGCTCCAGTGATGAAAGGCTGTGTAGGACTGCTTCTCTAATAGGAGGAGTAGGAGAAGTAGGGGAAGACAAGTCACTGGCATGAATATGCCTGGAGGGAGTTGCGGTCAATCAGATTTGCAGCTGCCTTAGCTATCAGGATAAGGGGCAGACAAAGATGTCTATGCAGTTTTGGTCCCTGACTCAATACATGTATTTACATTTTATCTTCTCCTCTGCTTTTTGTTTTTTCCTGTGAGAAGGAACAACCTGTGTAAGATAGGAGATGATTCATAGTTACAAATCATCACAACATCACTGGGCTAGGGCTCATTCCTTTTCTGCCTTGTTTACAGTTTGCTCAAGAGCCATATTCTCTCACCAGGAGCCTGGTCTAAGGGAATCCAATTCACAGGCAAACAAGTTCTCCTAAATATTGCATGGGGACTCCAGGGTGTTCAGTTGACACAGAATTCCCCTGGGCAGCAGGATGTCTAACAGCCAAGCGCTGCAACACTAAGGATAAATCTGCTCAGGGATTCTAGTGTGCTAGGTCATTCGACCAAACCTTTCTGGGAACCACTTGTCAGAACCAGCACTGACATTTTTGATTCACAATCCATGGGCCACAGCACAGGGACATTCCTTTCTCTCAGGCTTTTAGAAGCCACTTTGGATTCAGGCATTAAACTACAAATGTTCTCTAAATTCAGTCACTGAGAAATTTTCTATCCAAATGAGGAAAAAAAATATTTTGAATCTATTAAGAACAGGACTTAGTATCTCATTTCAGCCCTCATGGCTTAAAGTTTTGGGAGTTCCTATACATTTCAGTTTAAGCAGTCCTGAGACACCAGATGGGATAATCGTCTACTGTGCTTCAGTCTGAAGCTGATGTCTTTTCTTAGATAAAAATCTCACCAACTGCTTCTTGAGCACAATGCACATAAAAATCACTACCCTAACTAGAAGCTTCACAGGGAAAAGAGTATCATCTCCTGTAATAACACATTTTGAGTTGCTGTTTTTTTTCAAAACAGGCATAGAGAAGCAAGCTCCTCTTCTAAAGATAGTTATAGAGGGTATTTTTTGTCCTATAGAGAAAATAGTTTTCTTAAAGGCATTTTAATGTTAATTCTGACACTAAAGCTTCCAGGTCTTTTGCATTCTTGGAGTGTTTTGTATCAAATAGGTTCATGAGCAAGGAAAAAGAAGTCACATTAATTGCTGTGAAGTTTTCAATAATTTCACTTAAAAATACAATAAATTGTTTTTCATTTTTGTTTTCTGAAAAGACGTAACAGTAGTCCAAATTATGTGATCACATTTCATTTCAAAAAAACTCTGTTTTAGAAGTATGAATATGAAAAAAGATTGAAAACACACTGATGCTTGCTTTTACCTGTACCATCACTGCTTGCAAACTGCTGTATTATTTTTAGCAAACATGTTTTAAGAAAAATACCTTTGGTCTTTGGATACTTTATAAAGCATTTGCCCCATACTGGATATTTTTGTACTTTTTTTTTTTTTTTTTTTTGCTTTTTCTACTTCTTGCACCAAAGGAATAAACCAGAAACTGTCATGAAAACTATTCAAAGTATTTTCTCTGTCATACCTGACAATATATACTGTGTTTCTATACAGTTTCTATATTTTTGAAAGTGCACATACTCACAAACCTGATAAAATAAAGCATTTTACAACATTAATCACAATCAAGAGAATAATTCTAATAGTACTTCTCAAATTTTGGGAAGTCCTTAGGTTACCATATGCAAAGATGTTTGAGACAATTTCAATTACGAAAAGTAACAAGTGACTCAAAAATATTACCTAACAGGTCACAATGCATTTAAAAAGAGGACCCTATGTTTCATTTGTCCAAAGTTTTTGGTTTTTTTAAGAGAAAAAAGAATAAGGAACAACAGAACATACTGTATAGATTTAAACTCCACTTCAGATTCCCAGGAAGGCTGTCTTAAGCACTGTATGCATTATAAAACTATGGGCTGACCCATTTAAGTCACTGCTTCATCATTCAGAGCGACTACAAACACTTCAAATCTCACTTTGAAACGTTATCATTTACTCTACCTCTTGAAAACACCAAGCACAGTGTGGTCCAGAAAGCAAACAATCTTCACAAGTCACTGCACTTTCCCGAGAACAATTCCCTACATTCAAATCCAAGAAGACAAAAGAGAATTATTAATGTGTTCAATCATTTAATTTATGAAAATTTTTGTCATTTAGAGAATGTGGCAGATGAAGATGACACATTTAGCCATATTTAGAATTAATGATAACATTCCTTCAAAAGCATATTTCTATTGGTAGATTGTTAACTCTCTGAAAAACAAATGTTGAAAATTAACTTACTTTGACATGCTTTAGGGATGCCCATTCACTGGAATTGCGTTACTTGTTTTCTCCAGTATATTTGATAAAATATTACATTTATTTCTTGTATAGAACACATTACATATTGCTAACATAAAGAGAGACATTAAAAAAACCAGATTTTCATTTGCTCTATGTGCTTAAAACACTGTCACTCAGATCTGTAGATATTTGATATGATTTTATTGTGTGAGTACCAGTGAAACACCGAGTCACAGACATAGTATTAAATTTCTCAGTGGTTCAAACATTGCTTAGTATAACTAAAATAGCTCAAATGCCTGTCTCTCTCATACATGTGCTATGCAATGATCACATAAATCTCAGATGAATTTACAGGATAGCCCTACAGCAGTCTGTTAAAAAAAAAGAAAAAAAAATTCATTAACCAGAGAGGAATGACTACGTACCGAATAGAGAGGTAGCCAGCAGCAACTTAAAACTATTAAAACTAAAACAATAAACATAGTTTTGAAAAGCTGACGATCCGTGAACCTTACCTTGTACATTGTTATTTCTTTGCAGAAATAGGAAAAGGAGGCAAAGCAAAACAATCCCCATTCGTTTTCAGTGCTGGCTGCGTGACAAAAAATATTATCATGTTAATTATCATCGGTATAGATTGTTGCAAAACCATACATTCCCAAGGAGTATGTTTTAAGTTGTCACCTGCACTGAACTGCGAAGAAACTTCTGTGCTATCACGAAGCAACATGAATAAAAATGAAAAGCTACCTGGACAGGTAAAGACGACAAGCTTTGCATACAAGTAACCTGAACATGGTTATCACTTCCTTGTTTTCCTGTACTCCTTATAAGGTATACAATCAGAAGAAAGGGGGAAAACTCATTCAGGTGACGATTTCTGTCAATTCCAGTTTCCCTGGGTGCTAGAGAGAACTATCCATGACACCACTGCCAAGTATACAGCAGCTCGGAAACACTCCTCTAAAATAACTCCTTTAATTGTTCCCTGGGAGAGCTCATTAGGCAAACAGGTCATACAATTGCTAGGTGAATATACCTGGAGAGATGTAAAAATCCCATTTTTTTCAAATTTCCTGATGTGGAGAGTACCTTGTAAAGACAGCTGTGGAAAAAAAAAATCACTAATTTTAACAGAGAAGCAGGCTTCAGTTACATAAGACACAAAAGTACATTAATTTTATTAACATTTCAAATTGAAAGGGAAACGTGTCGATTGCGGGGTTTTCAACAGGTAAAAGAAGGAGCAATTGTATTCCCAATTCTGTGGCTGACAAGGAAAAAACTCCTCAAGCTTGATTCTTGTCTAGCAACCGGACCAACATTCTGCATCAAAAAAAACGTTACTGTTATAAATCTCTTTTCTCTCCACCACCTCCCCAGCCCAAAGAAAGGCAAAACTCCTTATAGGATTTAGAAAAAAAAGTTCCTATTTGTAGATTTCACGTCTTCCCATCCTTCATGTTCCTTCATGTTTTGGTTTTGTTTCGTGGGTGTTTGGTTTTATTTTCAAAAAAAAAAAAGTTCAGAACAAATTCTCCCTCATCATATTTAGGCATTTGCAGGCAATTTGAAACACTATGGTATAAAAGCACTATTTCAAAAGCTATGTTCTGGCTCGTCCTCAAAACATATATCTGATTTTCTACAGGCAGAAATCCTACCAAAGCTAGGAATTCCACTCCTAACAACTAAGTTGCTCTAACCATGAGCAACTAACTGGCTGGCTAAGACCTCCCCTTTTAAAAGCCGTGATAGGTGCAGTCTTGGAGCAGGATATGACAGTAGGGATAGGTCTAAACTAGTAAACTCAACATGCCTGGAAACATTCCTGGCCATTGAGGCCAACTGGCACAGAAAATCCCAAGTTTATGCTTGCAATTTGCCTGCTGGGACCACATTAACTACCAAATTGTGCCCAGAAATTGTTTGCGGAGAGTATTAATTGGAAAAGGTCAAATTCACGCCAAAGAGCATTTTAACAGTTTCATAGCAAAGACTCTCATGCTAGTACCTGGAAATATTCCCAGGCACATCTAATTTTACTAGTATTTACATAGTCTATGGTAGTTTCATAGCCACTCAAGCTGAATTACGTCAAACCTACCTTTGTCCTGCCCTGGCGCTCACACCCCTTCTCTTTTACCTGCTGTTCAAATAAACAAGGAGCTCTTGAATTGTTCCAGTTGAAAACTAATCACCTTCCATGGGAAAGGCTGGGAGCTACTTATCATCAGGATCTGCTCCCTGAATTGACTCACTGTACAGTCACCTGCAAGTGCCAGTTTAGGGGAGTGAGCAGGACAGAAAGACTGGAGTTGGCAAGAAAGGTGGGAATATGTTAAACTGAATTTATCTGCTGTGGAGCCATAGCTTTCCATTTCAAAGCAGAAGTTAACTTTGCACCTCTTCCTAGCCCTGGAAACATAACAACAGCTCTAAGTGTTCTGTGCTCCAAGGATTTCACAGCAAACCTTCAGCCACCAAAAGGTTCCTGGTTAAGGGATCAGACAGGTGAACTGTATTGGCAAATGCTTATTTTTAGACTCAAGATATCAAGTTTTTTAGTACATAGAGAAAGAATAATACAGTCTATATAAAATTTACAAATTCTATTTGATAATATCAGTTCACCATTTGCTTGTGTGCTAATGCTTTATATAAGTCTTGGCAAGGTCCACATGACTGGAGGCTAAGAATAGGATGGCTGCCAAAGACTATCTGCATAAGCCTAGCCTGAATAAAATAACTAAATTTCTGCAATCTAATAAGAAGAGACCTCTCCACATTGTCGGTAGAACAGAGAAGGCAAGAAGAAAGCATCAAAATAAAACAGAGTGAACAGGAGAATAATAAGGAGAAAATATCCAAGGTTAGTTTTAACTTTTAAAAGTTCACAGAATGAGATCACACCCCCCCCTACACAGGTTCCTACACAGGTATGTTACCCACAGGAGCAAACAGAAATGGAATGAAAAATTCACTGATGGGGCAGAGTAGAATAAAAGATGTCCAGGAAGGGAGACAACAAATACCAAGAATAGAACTCAGGCAAGGTAAGAAAACCAAGGTAGGTTGCTATTAGATGTTTCTTATTTTAACTTGCTTTATATATCTCATATGACATCTAAAGATTGCTGACTTAAAGAAATTAAAGAAGAAAATGGGGGGGCGGGGGACTTTCAACTATCACATATGCTAGAGGAGAAGAATTCTACACCAGAGCAACCACATGATATGAGTTAATCCAACTCCCTCATTTCCCTATATGTTATAGCCTTCTCCCCTTATTCCCTCTAATCTTCAGTAGTTCTATTCTGCTACTTTCCTTGCAAGAACATGTAAGTTTTACTTCTGTCAGACTAATTCTAAGTTTAGGTCCAGTACCGGGGTCCTTTATTCTTATTTTATTCACACAAGTTAGAGGCATCAATCCAATGCCATCAATCCAGGTGTAACAGCAAGGTATTTTACAATACACACATACACACAGAACACAATTATGATTGTTTTTAATCAGTCAGTGCATATTCATTTGGGAGCAAGTTCTGGTCTCATTTAAATTAGAGTTACTGTTTTATAATGGTATCTTAGAGCAGAATGCAACTGTCTTACAATATGGCAACAGAGCAATGCAAACCTGGGCTTCTTTAAAAGCTATTTCTTTATTAATGTAGTTTGTATAGGATAAAATCTTAGGCGCATTATCCATACCTGACCCTTATACTACATGGAGAAAGCACAGAAAGACATTCTAGTCATATAATCCACCTTCAACAAATTCACTAGAGAGCAACAAACCTTAAATACAGGGGAACAAAGAGAATAAGAAATAAAACAAAAATATTAGCCTGACTGTACTTTTTATCAATATTTTTTCCTTTTGAACAAACATGCAGCTTTTCTGACAAGCAAGACCATGTTTCACACACGAAGCTAAAGCCAAAAATAAGGTGATGATCGGCTGCATAAAGCTTCCAGAAAGTATTTACATACGAAAGCATGCAAAGTAATTGATGTATTCATATCTAAAAAAAAGATCACTTCATTAAAAAAACCCACCAACCTCTCCTGTAAATATACTGTGAACTGATGTTGTATAATTACACATACAGGCAATTCACCTCAAGAGAAAACAACAATTAGTTTCTTCTGAACCAGACAAAATTTCGAGGAGGAAGCATGTCAGCTCCAGGGAAGGTTTATCAATCAGAGATCAGTATGTGCCAGGTCAATCCAAGCAAAGAAAATCTCTTTTAACTAGAAATTGGAGAGCTACATACACAGAAAGAAATTCTTGTAACTGATCTCTCTGTCTCAGACACAGCCCAGCCCTTGATTCTTCTCTGTGCCCTTCTCATACACTCATCTTGAAAACCAACCCAAACACCAGGCAGTTCAAAGACCGTAGGTCCCATAAACTGAGATGGTCCTTCAAACATTTACAAAAGTGGGTAAGCATCTCTTGGAGACCAGAAAACATTTCCCCATCCCTTCATGAGAGAATTTTGTGGAACTAAAACAATGAGATAGGTTTTCGATGCCCTCCATCCTGAAAAACAATGTACACCAGCTCAATGCATCTGCAAGAAGGCCTATCAGAAAGGAAAGGCAGACACAAAGCCATATCTCTCAGCTCTAATGAGTATTTGAATCAGGTTATTCTCTCTCTGCTTTATTTCCAAATCATATCTGTCTTGGAAGCTCCTGACAATCCCTCATGGGGGATCTAAGTGGCTCTTAAAGGTTTAGGTCAAGCTTTTTGACCTAAAAGATGACAAATGAAGAACATTCAAGAGCCTGCAGAAGGGGTGCCACCAAGAAAAATATTTTTCTTCCAATAAGAAACATGTTCTGTGGCTGCACAAGAGGTTCCCAGCAGAAACACAAGTCCTTTTCTTTGTAACATGCCTGTGCACAAGTATCTTCCTTGCCAGCTTGACAAACCTAGTTCCAAGAAGGGTTGTAACAGATGTTTCAGGGGATGTGTGCCAATTAACTAAGCAGGGAACCTGAAAAAAAATACAAAAAATGCTTTCCAAGCTTGAGACTTAACATTAAGCTCCAACAAACTAGAGATGATCTGAGGAGCCACACAGCAGCGTGAATGTCCTGTGAACAGGAGAAGCCAACTCTGTCAGAAACCCCACATGACATTGGGAAGACTTGTCCCATTCATTCCTTTGCTGCAGAGCATATCCTGGCAATACTTATGGGAAAGCTGGCAATAATATTAAAAGATGAAGCAACAACCTCTACCCAGCAATTGCATTTAATGGGGAAATTCACAACAGTGATAAGTGTAAATAACCAGTAATTTTGTTTTTACATTTTTTTCCTGCATGGGAAAATTTTTCTAGCTATGAAGCAGTCGCATCACCTAATAAACCACTTTGCAAAATAACTGTTCAGCTACATATGTATACAGTGTCTGTTGATATTCTTCGAAGTTTCTTTCTTTGCTCATCAGCACAGTGAGTGGTGGGTATTGCTCCAGCAGGAAATGGTCTCAACCCAAAGAGGCTGCCATAACTGTTCAGGACATGTATAAATGACAAGGTTAGCCTGCAGAAAGTGAAGACATGAAGACAAAGTGCACGAGCTGCTTCACAGCAGCTCCCATGTTCTGGCGTGTTGGGGAAGCAGTACCCAAGGGTTCCTGGGTAGACAAGCCCCCCAGTTGAGCCACAAAGCCCTGCTGAGGAGCAGGCAGCGAGGAGGAGAGGTGAAAGCCTCTCTTGCTCTCCTGTTGAGATTTTGCCTCCAAGCCCACTCCCTGCCTCCTCAGCAGCTCCTCAACAGCGAGCAGCTGGGAATGAGGGAGAGCAGCTTTGGAGAAAGACAGCTGGAGTCTGTGGCTCCTTCTAGCAGGTCACACAAGCTGCCCTGCCACACATCGGGGAGGATTTTTTTCCTCCAGCTCTGAGGAGAGTGGGGTGTTGCAGACCAATGACTCATGCCATGATTCACTCCCTGCCCTCCTCTTGCTCCTGAAGCACCCACTGCTGCTAGACAAGGCAAAGAGTGAAATCAGCTGGCTCCCCCTGAACAAATGAAGAGGAAGTGAAGGAAAAGGAT